ACTGTAACTTTTAAGTCTTACTTAAAAATAACTTCATGAAAAAATATTTTATTATAGTATTTTGGAAAGCTCTCGAGGTGTGCTACAAGAATATGCATGAAAAATAGGGGGTTCCATTTAAAAAATTCAAAGTGGCATTGTTCTGACCTTGATGACGCCACTCAAGATTAAACTGATCAGATCACTAAATAAATCATTTAAAACCCCATAACTTTTGCCTGAAACGTTTTTTTTTTCCGAGATAAAAGAGATGTATGAGTGGTCTGAGACACTCTTTTATATATATATATAAAAGAAATTAAGAAAATATTGTAAGACTTACCTTATCCATCGCCAAAGCGAATGCAGTTGGACTAATCAGAGAAACCAACCAGTATGTGACTGAACTGGAATCACTCACAAACACTTGGATGAAGTACATCAAGCTCAGTGTTGTAACAGCGAAGTTTCCTAAGACACCAGCCGTCTGAAATAAATAAAAAAAGATATTTTTATTGCTCATACTGTATTTATTAATTTCTTTATTAAGAAAATAATAAATAAATAATTTATATATTTTATTGTTCTGTATTAATCTAATAATAATAAGACATACATGCAATCATAAAAATTATTACAAAAGTTGCGTTTTGGAAAAAAATTAAATTTTTTAGACAAAAAGAAAAAATATACGAAGACAATCTAAGAATTACTTACGCGCGACTTATCGAAGAATGGCGTAATCATAAAGGCGAACATAATTACGGAAAAACTGTATAGAACCACCAAAAGAAATATCGGCAGGAAATGCGTGTGTTGAAACATTTGCAGAGTGAAAAGCAATACCACTCCGACGGCAGAGAGCAAAAAGACGAAGATACTGTAAATGATGAACCAGGACAACCTACAAGAAAAAGAAAAAAATACGTGACACTGTAAAAGAATATTAATAATAACATTTGACATAAATTCATTTTTTTCCAATATCATATATTATCAAAGCTTAAAATCGATATTATTATACATGTTTATAAATATTGCGATCTTACCAAAACACAGAATCGTTTAAACCCATCATCTTCATTCCCTCTTTAATCTTATTTTCCTTCTCGCCAACTATTAAGATAAGAAGATAGGTAATGAATTGCGAGAGCGCAAAAACCATGTAAAGCGGAATAACAACTCTGAAGGCCAACATCCAATCTAAGGAAATAAGATAATCATTAACACACTGAATGCGGCATGTACAGCAGAAATAAGTGAATCTAAAAATTTCTGGTAACATCACTTACCAGCGGTATACGCTTCCTTGGGAAACATTATGAGTTTAATATCCGGTACTGTTACATCAGGATTTCCCGGGTTTATAAACTGTAAAAAATAACATCAGGATCATTCATTTCATTATCAGAACCTACATTCTTATCAAATAATAAAATTAAATTAATGGATATTTTACTAAACTTTAAAATAAAAGAAAAACTCACTTTTATCTTCGTGATATCCATCATCACCTGCAAGGCCAAAAAGCCGGAATGCAAGTAATTGTTGGCGGGACAAGATTCCCCGGTTTTTATCGATAAAAGATCGTCCATCCAGTGACCAGTTTTATTCTTTCGACAACTGATCGGAGCAGAATACAATTCGGTTGGTGATGGCGGCAAGACATATGAAGGATTCGTTCTAATTTCATATCTAAATAGCATGAAAGGTTTCGTATGTTAATAAAAAACGCTGACATTTTCTACAGAATCGAATCAAAATAAAAAAAGAAAAAAATCATGATTAATGGTTTATATTTAATAAGTATACTTAATAGTATTCATTGTTATATACTTGATTTTGAAATTTATTTGCCCAAATTTATTATAGGCATAAAATATTTTTAATGTTAATTATAGCGATAGCCATTTTTAGCATTAAAAAGATGATAATATATTAAAATAGTTATATAAATTAATTGTGAAAAATCAGATAAATTAATTAGAATCTATTATATTTTTTATTTAAAAAATTAAACTATTTTCTTTACGTTAGTAAAAGTAATAAAAAAAAAGAAAAATCTGCTTTTAAGAATAATTTTCTATCATATGTAATTTTTTTGTTATAAAAATCTTTGTTCGACAAGTAAGAAACATTGAAACATTGCAGCAACATTGTAACATTATTCGAATGTTTCAATATATTTCTTGCTTACTGGACATCTTTAATTTTAAAAATAACTGGCACAGAAAATGATTTAATATAAACATAAGAAATAAAAATCTTCCTTGTTAAAATAGAAAGATGTCTGATGAAATAAAAAGATGTCTTTTTCCCTGAATCTCTGCATACATTTTTGAAAAAAATTGCACATGCTTTTGTTCACTTTTTAATTCGTTTAATGGTTAAAATAATGTAAAAATTATCTTACATAAGACGCTGCGATATTGGCTGGGGGTCTTCGAAGATAACTGCTAGGGGTATACTGTAAGGATCTCTCCAATACGCTGCTTGCAGATCATCCTTCGTGTCGAACACCATGAAGTTTAAGGGAAGCTTACCGGGATAATCCCACATAGAGAGCCAGAGGCTATTCATGGAGCTTAAGAAGCTCTAGAAAATACAACGTTAATTTTATATCACGAAACCTCGAAATATCCGGCAAAGAGACTAGCTCTCAAAGCAGTTTATGCTTAAATAAAATTACGATATTATAAAAGATATACATTACACATATTTAGCGAAAAGAAGTGTAATTTTTAATAAATTCGAATTAAAAAATTATTTCTAGATAAAATATTATCTCAAAATGTTTAAAAAAATGGAATCAAGATATTATATTTATATTTTTATATTTTTATATGAAATATGAAATTTGATTTAAAGCCTTAACTTTACACAATTTAGATTTGAGAGAAAAGGGAGTTTATTTAAAAATTATTTAAAAATCAATTTGATGAAAAATGTTTTTAATAAAAAATAAATTTAAATAAATAATATACAGTAATTTTATTCAGATATATACATATAGACATGTTTTATAACACTTGAAAAGACACTAACACTAGAACACTTGAAAATAAAAATATTTGTACTTGATTAGATTATTTAACGAGATTTGGAAATAATTTTCAGAGAGTAGTACTCACAAGGGTTTCCGTAGAATTGGGCACCACAGCGATTGTATTGTTTTTGTAGCCATTGAATAATTCAAATATATCCCCTTCATGCCTCTGCGTCAGCATCACAGGAAAGTTTGGGTTGGGTATCATGACCTTCACCACGATCAAGGTTCCGAGGATATAAAGGGGTAGAACGACCTCCTGTAGATAATCAAATGATGCCGATTTGAGATCAGATAAATACATAGTTATATGGCGTATCTCATATAGCATCAGAAGTCAATTTTCTATTTGTAACATTATTCATCGCTCATAATAATAACTAAGTATCTTTTGATAAAAAAAAACAATTTAAAAGAAATAAACTCCTAAGTTTTCCCTAGAGAGAAGTAAATAACAATTAATAAAAAATATATATACCTCTATATATTATTATATATAATTCAATATTATTAATTTATTAATTATTGCATATTTATAGATATCTTTTCACATCTTTTTCTTCAATACTTGTCTCTTTATTACTGACTAATATTTTTAAAATATTAATATATTTAAAAAATATATATACATGCATAATATGTACATACATCAATATCTATCATTCTAAAATTAATTACGTACTAAAAAGATTAAGGTACTTAAGAAAAAAGAGATAAAAAATCAAGGAAGGACTTAAAATTTTTCAAAAAACAAATTTTGTGCATAATATAAACCATTCCATAATTATATAGTTTACATTAAATGAATAAAATATTTCTGTTTCATGTCTGTTGCAGTTAATAACCACTGTACATATAAGGTAGGGTGGTTACCCCTTGTTTTACATTACTAAATAAAAACGTAACACATAAATTCTATATGGTCAGAAATCCCTCGCGTACATGCATGCGTGTCCTATAATTATTATGCTCCGCACGCGCACCTGCTGTTCTGCTTCCCTATTTGCAACACGATACTAAATAATAGTTCGAACCGTTTCGACACTGCATTTTCTCTTTTGACAAGTTGAGAACTTTGTTTCAAGAATTTTTCACAAAGCTTTATTCTGATAAAGCTTTGTGAAAAATTCTTTAAATGATAAAAAGTTTCATAATAATATATAATTTAAAAATACGAGAATATTGTATTGGTTAATAATCATAATATGAGATTGTCTTATAATTATAATTACCGCTTTTTTGCGGTTTTGAATTATTACAAATAATAATATAAACTAAGACTCAAACAATTAAAAAATTCGCATAAAAGGCTTCGCATAAGTCGGACAAGATGATAGTCGTTAACAACTAAAATTCATCAAATTCAAATAAATATACAAACTTTTCGACCTTTATCGGATCATCTTCAATGTCGTACAAAATTCGTTCACAATTCAGCAATTCTATAAGCATTACAATCTTCACATTATCCAACAATTTCAATATTTATAAATGATTGAGAATTATTACAATTGTAATCTTTCTTAATAATATTGAAATAAAAATTTTTGTTTTATAATTAATTAAAACTAATTTTCACCTTTATATATATATATATATGTATATATAATTAATTAATAACTTTATATTATTAGTGATGTTAATTTATATAAAAAGATTTAATTAGTCACTGTTGTTTTTCAAATAAATTTTTCTTTAATGGAATAAATCTTTTACGCAATTGTTATGACATTTAATATTTAAATGGATTATGCGAAAAGCTAACAAGTTAAATTTTTTTTTAAGAAAAAGTTGAAGTTTTAAAAAAATTTTTAATTAATCACAATAAATGAATAAAAAGACGATAAATTATGAGACATTCTATACATTGTTTGGGGATATTGAGCTTCGAAAGTCCGAGTTCCGTCGTCATGGCGATCAACAAAGAACTGACGCATACTTCGCGATACTAGAACGTCGAAAGATAAAAGACAGCGATATTTCTGATATTGTCACGAGCGAATTATAATGTGTAGTGCAAAAATTTATATTATTTCGGTGTCTCTATATCAATACGATGATTACATAACATAGATCGATGCAACGTCAATTATAAAACATCATAATATTCGAAGTGAACAGAATTCTTATATTTCTTCTTCGTAGCACGTGAGCGAAATAGTATAAACATACAAATGGTAATTGCTTCCATCTGTGACTTAATGCACCATTCACTTGCTCATTACGTCTTTTAATTTTCAACTGCTATAAAGAGCGGACATTATATAAGAGAGGTATTATAAGAAGTAGAAGAGATGATATAAGAGCTAGAACGAAGAAGTAAAAATAAATTTGAATTACACGATGGAGAGTGAATGGAAAAAATATATTGAAACATTAAGTATTTATACAAACATAAAATATATTTTGATAATTTTCTCGTTCTCTCTGACATAATGTTGTAAATACTTTGGATATACTTATATGTCAATATTATAGAACAATGCTAACAATATAACAATATTATAATTCTTGTGATTGTCTTTTACGATTTCTTTATAATTCCTCTTTCGTTCTTTTTAATATGGAGAAATATTGATAGCTTATAAAAATAAATTAAAGAAGATCAACAGAAATATGTTTTACAATACTAAATCTCCTATAATTTTTGGAAAAAACAGAAAATTAATTTGACACTAAATTTAAATATGCAAAAGACGGAGAGCAAGAAGATAGATTCAGAGACAATGTCGTTCTGCGTGGACATTGTCACCGAGGATTCCTTCTATGAGAATCTGACCCTCGGCGTAGTCAAGATCCTCGAGAACTCGCCATGCGTGAGAAATGTACGGGTCGAGAGGCGAAATGGCTGTGAACCTGGAGCTATCACTAATTGGGAGCAACGCCATTGCTGTACGCTTCCTGAAGACATTCGGAATTTCTATGCTTCTATCGATGGTTTCCTATTACAATGGAATTTTGATATAGCAGGTAAACATGATAACTATTTAAGCCTGTATTTCCGATTCAATGTATCTTTCTTCTTTCCGTTCCCATTAATTGTACTTTTTTTTTTTATTATATCCATGTATGTCCCATAATATTATATTTTATAAATTTATATTGAATATAAATATCCATCATTATATTCATATTATTATTATATATTCATTAAAGTTTTTTAAAAATATTGTTACAAGAATTATATATGTATATTCCACATATAATTTTATAAATTTTTGTTATCATATTGTAAATATTCATTATAAATTTATAGATATTTATTGTCACATACATTCTAAGTTATTTTGTTTATTTCAAAAAATTTATAATTATTGAGTACAAACTGCGTAATAATCCTTTTTACATAGCAAAAATGGTTCATCATGGCATGTCACAAATTTTTATTTTTATAATTTATATTTAGAATTTTTCGTATAATTATTAACAATTGTTATAATATTAAATCAAAAGCTGTACTTATAAGGAAAGTAAATATAAAAATCAGTCTTATTTTTTATCAACAATTGTATATACTTAGAATTTAGGATTCAACTAAAAACTTTCAAAGATGTATGTATATCTTACCATTAAATATTGAATCTTATATTGTGATATTATGACAGATAAAAATTTTTAATTCACTGAAACCATTATTTATTTATTTCTCAATAACAAGCTTGTGTTTCTCTTTTGCTGCGATTTTTTTGTACGTTATTCTTTTGTTCATTATTGGCAATTCCAAATTATATTAAAAAATTCTTCATTCGACAAAACAAACAAGCATACTGAAATATATTATCCAATATAATCAGTTGTCTAAGTAATGAGAGATGACAATCTAGGCAACACAATTTGTCAAAAAGGTATCACGTAATTGTCTAAAAAAAGCTTCGAGTGTCCAAATATCCTTCATACTTTTTCCTAATTTTTATTTATCTATAGCAATATGGAAAACCATTAGCTTCAAACTAATGTCTTTAATTCATCGATACTAATTTAAAAATTCCATGTTGACGTAGGCGAAGAATTTTCAATAGGTCGTATGGAAATCGGCGGTCTTTCGTCTCTGAAGAGATACGTCGGTAAGGATCGGCAGACAGGACCATCGATGCAGGAATCGACAGGAATCCAAACGGGAAACGTCGCTGAACTGCAAGATACCATGTTCTCCGGGGATTCACGTGATTGTAAATTCTTTGAGATTGGCCAGTGTTTCCCGGGACCCGAAAACGGCAGGATTTATTTGGCATATCGTTCTAAACAGGAACAGAACTCGCCCAGTATTTGGCTCTATCGAGGCAGTGGCTGGTACCACTTGGCTGACAATTTTACCATATACTTCCGTATGATGCTGGCTCATTTGGGCTTGCCACTGTGGCAGTGTTGCGTCGCCGGATTACCTCTGCCTACTTGGATCGAGCAGGCGTATTTTCTGGTCGGACCCCACCTGCTGCCATCCACCATTGAGCCTACTGAGACCGTGTCTGCTTCATTGTGGAACAATGGACCCATCAATGTTCTTGATCCAGCTATCTTTAAAGCTAAAGATAGCAAGCAGAGGAATGCTCGCAAAAAGTGAGCTTGTTACAAGTTTAATGGTATTAAACTTTTTGACAGAAGCAAAGTTCTGCTCAAAATAAAAATAGTAAGATAAATTTAGGGTTTTTGCAGATTTCCGACGAGATTTTATCATGTAGTGAAATATTCTTTTCTTAATATTTCTATACTAATTAAGTTTAGATAAAAATGTTTAATAAATATGTGAATGCAAATACATATTAGATAGTGAAGAAAGGATTTTATCTCACAATGTATCCCAAAATATACAATATAATAAATATCAAATTCTTAGATATAGCAAATTATTATACTGGGATGCAGATTGATTATTTGAGAATTAAAAAAAGAAAATAAAAAATCAAATTTAGAGTTTTTAGAATTCATTAATTTATAAACGTAAGAAAAATATTAATATATATGTATATTAATATATACTATATATACTAAATATATCCTAGACATCAGAAAATATGAGTATTTAATTGACGAGTATCTCAAATTTAAAAAATCAGTAATCATCTAAAATTGAAACGAGTCTCTATCATCTGAATAATTCATCAATTTGTGACTAATATACGTGGAATATGTATTTATAGCGAATGTCCTAGATCTGACAAAAATTATTAGAATTCAAATTTTGAAAAGTAATTATATTTAAAATTAAAATATATACAAAATAAATTATATT